GTTCTGTAATATCGGGAAAGATCTTCAGATTTTTTTCGTTGACAAAAATTGTTTGCAAAGAATTATAAACAAAATATTAATAGCAGGAGTCAAAGCAGATATATGCTCTTGGGTAGGACTATAAGGACTAAAATCATGCTCTGTCACCTTAGCTGGCAAGCTACGGGCTCTCCCTAAACCTCCTAAAATAAATATACCTCAGATCTTTGATTTAGGATTGGCCTCTGCCAATTCCTCAAAAATGTCATTTCCTTTTTTCGCCCTTCCTGTTTTATGACACTAATAAGCTAAATAGGAACTAGAACGAATCGCCCTCTGCTCTCTTGCTTCCTGCTCAGAAGCCCCGGCTCCATACGATGCATGTGTTTCACTCAACAACCTTCTTCCTGGGCACAAGGCTTCAGAGATGCACAGGATGCTGTCTGCAGAGAGCTCATTCTCTTGCCTCCTTTGACAACCCATTGCCCAGTTTTGCAGAAAGGGGCTGTATGACTTCAGCCTTGGCTTAGACTCAAAAAAATTACTGTCAGGTTTTGGTTTGTGTTTACAAAAACCCATAAACAAATAGCGTACATAAAAGCAAAATATACGACAGCTCTTTGGGGGTATTTTTAAGCCATTCCCACTAGAGGGCGCCAGACCCTGCACTGTGTCCTCCATCACCTCTACAGCAACCTGCCCTCTCCGCCCCTCCATGTTCTCACTGACCCCCATCCCTGGGGGTTTGATGGAATTTATTTTTAAAAACTTTCCAGCATAGACAAGATGCTTGGACCTCCTCCACTGAAGCAAACTGGAATTCTTTAAGTAGGCTAACCCTTCCCTATGGAGGAGCTCAGACCCCATCTTAATAGTTTCACATCATATCTCAAATGAGGATTTGCAGATTCTAAGGATAGGTGTGGAGATGCCTATAATCTCTTTCTACATGCTATAAACCTGCTCTCTATCCTCATATATAGGTTAGGAAAAACCAAACCCATAGTTACCCAAAGTTGGAAGATTCTCTTAGTGTTCAGACCAACGCCAACACTCAGGCAGGAGTCCATGAAGCCTGACAACACTTATGACCACCTCGTTTATTCATAAAGCAGCTTCTTTCCTCTCCACCCATGAGGACAATCCTAGGAAGTAGCTTGTCTCAGACCAGCACACTTCTCTGGGTGCCCACCAGACAGGCCACCACAACACAACACAATAAACAAACTGCCCAGCAGTCATTGTTTGCAGAGTCTACACAGCCCGCAGAGATGTGGGTCATCTCAGGAAGGGATGTGAGGAAGAACCTGGAGGACGGTGCTTTGGGTGGGTGGCCTAGGTGCTGCAGGAAGTGGGGTAATTCTCCCTGGGCAGCTGACTAAGCCTCATCAGGTCAGGAGAGAGAGAAGGTGAGGCGGGATCTGGTCCGACAGCACTCCCACAGGCTACACACCAGGTGTGAGGAGTGTGTTTGGTACTTTGCAGCTTATACCGTGACCTTGTTTTTGCCTTGGCTTAAATTACAAAGTAGACATTCTTTTCATGTCGCTTCATCATGGTCACAGCATGCCCTTGTCTGAGGCTGGTGTTCTAAGACTGTTTATATTGCACAAGGAAACCTCACGGCCCAGCTCTGAGCGCCAGGATGGCCCCTGACAACCTCTGACCTCTCTTCAGCCCTGTCTCTCATGCCCGGAGCAGATGTGAGAACTGATTACAGTGTAGGGGTGTAATCTTCTTTGAATAGCCAGCACCTTTCCCATTGTTCTGCATCCTGTCTCCTCTTGAAGGCTTGTGGAGAAGGGCGCCTCCAACCACCACTCTTTAGCATCCTACTCCAGCAAATGTCCACTTTTTGGAACCAGGAATTGAACCCATGACCCGGTGCTTACCAGGCAAGCACTTGGGCTGCTGAGCTACATCCCTGGCCCCATACGTTCGCTTTTAACACCAGCCAACTAGAAAATAACTGGCAGAACTTGAACTTGGATCATACGTCTCCTCTTTGCTTCCCACATGCTATGATGGTGCCAGCTGGTGACATCCCTCACTGGAACCTCAACATATGATCCCAAGTCCAAAGTTGTTCTCACACAATTATTAAAGGTGCCTAAAACTCTTCCACCAGAGGCCAAGGACAGAGCAAGACTGGCCAAGGAAAGATCACAGACTCTGTAGGCTACTTATAGGCTGGGGTCAAAGGTTTCACAGGGTCCCCTCTAACTCTACAAAGTGACCACATAGACTGGGATGGGTATTGCATCCTATATAGGAAGAGCTGAGTGATAGTAAATTTTATTTTCCTCTTATCCCTTTTCATAATCCTTTTTATTCTTGCACATCCCTGGGAATTCCTGAGGGCAGGTTCTTCAGTGAGTTCATCCTTCATAAACCATTAGACTCTTCAGATGATGTTCTCCTCTCAAAGCTCCCTTCTATCATGAGGTAAACAAAAACAGTAACAACAATAACAAAAAAACAGGATTGTGACCTATGACACTCATGCAACCTTCCCCAGGAAGAGCTTCTGTGAGCGCACTGCAAGTAGCAGCTTATTTTCTAGATGGTCTCCCAAAGCCTCGTGCACTCATACATGGGGTTTTTCAGTGTTGGATCTGGGGTATGTGAATATGGGTTAAGGGCGTGATAATTAAATTAATCCACTGGTTTAGCACTGTTCTGAGTGTGAGTGGCACCAGTTAACAGGCTTGTAACCAGGATGGGATGTAGAGAAGGCAGACAGGCTCCATGCTAGGTGCTCCCGGCTTGCCCCTCCATGGACTGCTTCTCCTCCACCATGCCATCCTGCCCTGCAGCCTGCTAACTATGCACGGAAACCTCTACAAACTGTGAGCTGAAATAACCCTCTTCTCCTTTAACCTGTGGGTGTCAGGTGTTTTGTTCCAGCAATAAGAATAGTAACTAAGACACTGCCTTACAAACACCTTTTATGCTCACTCTTTGGAGAGAAACAGTTGAAACACATACCCATGTAATTTACAACTTGAATGAAGTACTCTTAAGGTTGTACTTTACCATTAAACACATGGGAAGTGAGTGCAAAACTAGGAATTTTAACAAAATCTAACATCATTTCTGACTAGGCTCTCAAAACTAAGTTATGTTTCGTTTGTAAGCTCGTGTATTTGGCTCAAAGCACTTTAAATCAGATGGGTACCCAAAAATGAGAACATAGGTTGTTAAGCAAATAATATTACTAGTCATATGGCCTAAAGACTCTTGTACCTTGATTTAATTTGGTTAAGTCGAAATGTGCTTCAATTATTTGGTAATAACGCAAACAAATGGCTTAGAAATGGCAGACACTTGATTTATAGAATCACTTAGGACTCTCAATGTTTTCTCCTTTATTATGACAATTTTAAGAGGCAAAATACTCAGGTCCATTGCTGCAACATAATGGTTTTACACTGTTTAAAACTGTGTCACTGCTAGGTGGAAGGCAGGAAAGGGGACCCCATGGAAGAGAGGAATAGGGTTACTCTATGTAAAAGTAAAACCAGGGCCAATGCCCAGTCTTCACACGTTACTTACACAACTTTTTTTGCTACAGATATTTCTTCAGAGCCAAGAAATAAAGAGGAACACTATGTTTCACTTTTCTGTGTCTGAAGTGGACCCCAATCCCCTGTACTCCAGGGTATAAGATAGTTGCTTAATTAAAATTCCTCCACCCAGGACATCTCCAGGAAGTTCTAAGTAGTTCAAGTTGTGCTCACCATCAAAATTTCTCCAGGGGAAACAGCAAAAGCTTTCATCCTCATGTAAGGCAATGGATAATATGGAAGGGTTCATTTCTCATCAGTAATGTTTTCAGTGTCAATGAAAAAAGAGGGGCACTTACAGAGAAAACAGAACTTCTCATTCTTCAGAAGTTGTGTTACCATGGTGGCTTGGTAGTAACAGGGCTATCTGATCAGCCCCATTTGACGGCTGGAGAAAACAAAATCTATAAAAAACATAAAACATATTCCCAAGGTCTTTTTTTCCTTTGATTCTCCTGACTCTGCCAGCAGCCTCTGTTCCCACTCAGGTTCAACTATAGCACCCCAACAAAGGACAGGCATTCACTGTAACAAGGTATCCCATCTTTGGCCTGTAGGGGACATTTCCAAAATTGGGCCCAGGTGTGGATTCAGATGAACACTTCTGTTCCGGACATGGATCCTCTCCAGAGGGCTGGTTGGGAAGAGGTCCTCCTGGAGCTAAGTGCAGGCTTCATTCTGAGACTCCAGGACAGGGACTGCCTCCTGCTGGGGAGACAGTGCTGTGTGCCCAGCTGTGAGGGCATGAAGTGGAGATCCCCACGGCTCAGACAAGCCAAGAAACCCAGGGCCAGGACCACATTCCCATACCTTCCTGGACACCAGATGCTGGCGGGGCCCCCAGAGGCGAAAATCACTTTAAGTAGCAAAGTCCCAGAAAAGGAATTCACTGCAAGGCTGAATTAGCTCCTTATCTTTCAATCCACTGATTTTTCTCAATGAGCTATTTCTCAGATACAAGTTTCTAGATTAATTCTGTTAGTCTTTTTCACTGAAAAAAAAGTGCTGTGTTATCTACAGAACATTTCTCAACCCTGACAATAGCATTCCCTTTACTATCACAGTAGCCAGAATCTTCTTTACATTTCTACTGCTTCAGCATTATGTGTGAAATGATTTCCCTGGACATGACTCATACTTTGATAAAAATGGATCTTAGGTCAGTGTGTGTAAGAGTACCCAGATATAATTCTCTAGAAAGAGAATTCCTACTTTTTTATTTTTTATTTTTTTGCAAACAATTTTAGAGGCAGGGTGTTAAACTGATTGAAATTTCACAAGATTGACATTATTGCTTAAAGTGCTTGAATTGGTTACATTAAAAACTAAGGTACAGATTATTTTAAATAAAAACTACAAGTCTTTTTTTTTAGCAACAAAATCAAGTGAATGCCACACAAATACAGTAACTATTTTTGTTACACGGAAATGGGAACCAAAAATAAATTAATGAAATACTAGAAAACAGAAATTTAATTTGGCAGAAAGTAGGAAATAATTTTCACTAACCCATGCCATTTACATGAGTTAAAACAACAGTGCTGATAAATGCCTTGACCATATAATAGCAAAGGAGGGCAAAACATTTAGTGCACAGTATTTTAATACACATGAATATACAAAGTTGATCAAAATGCAAGGCTCGAAGATAAAATCCATCTGTAATAAAGCTACACTCCAAAACCTAAAAAAAGCCCTACCCACCAGTTAGAACATAGTTCCTTGTTAGGTGTGCCCATAAAATTAAGGATATCCATGAAAATAAATGCATAGCGACCATTTCTGTCATTTTTTTTTTCATTTCATCTTAAAACCAAAATATACCAAGCTGTGAAATCAAGTCCGACTGGCTCCCTAGTCAATAACCTGATAACGCTGTTCTTGATCTCTTCCCATCAGTCCATTTGGTATTGCCTTGGAATAGAAGATGCATCAAAGTAACAGGACCAGGTATCAGCATTTTACCAAAATCTGCTTCTAAACAGAAGATGTTAGCATAGTGTACCATAATCTAAACATAAAACTACTCAATAACCAATGAAGCAAGTATTTATTTTTTCAAGTGTAAAACACTGTAACTATCTGAAACACCCAGCAGTTAGAGAAATACAACAGGCCTACTCAGTTCTGCTGGAAAAAGACACACGGACCCCTAGCCATGGGAGGAGTATTGCTGAGCCTTTGTGCTATCGCTGTGACCGTGGAATGGTGGCCGTGCATACCCCATAGCATTCTGGTTTACGCTAGGTACAGGGACAAAAAGTAACAAAGTGTGTGCATGCTACTACTATCTTTATATAAAGAAAAATGACTGGGGGTAAAATATAGCTGCCTAGGGTTTTTTTTTTAATAGAAGACAAAGAGGTAAGAAATTACCAGATAGCTCTAAATTTTTTAAAGCTGATGGAGTGTTGAAAGAGAAAAGGACAGGAATTAATAGGAGTGTTTTGGTCTTTTCTAATCCACTTTTCTTGCATCACCACAACCATCTGAATGTCTGTGCAATATTTTCCATATTTATTTTTTTATTCCAAAAATCTACCCACCTACTTTTATTCCAAAAATCTATCTATGAATACTAAATTTTAACTGACTCTAAAAAGCAATTACTTCAGTTAAATCAGTGGGGGAAACTCTTTACAGATTCAAAAAATGGAAAGAAAAATGCACCAAACTTGTAACAGCATTGAACTAGTATTTCTACAGGCCTGCAATGGAAACATTTTTATCTAATAAATTAGCTTCAAGAGTGGTTTCAAAGATAATTTAATAGTCTTTTTTCTTATGAATCAGTTTCAAATATATTAGAGTTCAACCATCATGTTCTTAAACCTTGCAACTTGCAGTCAAATATATGGGTTATAAATAGTACAAACATTTCTTTACATCAATCACTTCAGTTGGAAAGTGGCTTTCCTTTGAAGAACAAAGACTCACCTCCTACGTAACTGATCACAGAATGTTTCATGGAGACAAAGAAAAACTATTACAAATATGAGTCTGCCTCTAATCAAGGCAAGGTACATTTCCGTTACTTGTATGGAACAGTAAGATGAAGATCACCCTGTTTTGTCTTCTCCAGTGAAGAGTAAAACATTTCATTTCAAGCATGAACAAATGAAGTGTTGGCATGCTTAAGTTCTGAGCAACAAACAGTTCAAGATATTTAAAAAATAAAAAATCCAGTTTTTATCTAGATAAAGTGCTATCCTCTTCATGGTTGCAAAATGGCCACTAACATTTTCAATTTTAGTTCACATTACGCCAAGAGTTTGCATGTTTGTTCGCAGATGTATTAGGTAACAAAACAATGTTCACAGTATATTATAGTGTATGGAAGTCAACTTCCCAAAGGAAGTCAAGATCTAGGACTCATAATATCCGTAGGAAACCAAAAACCAGCTCAACAGCAAAACATCAAATTGACCCTTTTAATAAAAGGTACCAATATTCAAATGCTCTAATAAATACATATATAACAAAAGTGAAAAAAGTAAAAGTAACCATAGTGAGATGAGGTTCTTCCAAAAACTGTCTTGTCAAGCATTCTAGGAGTCTGAGCAGGAGAAACAGCTGCCGTCCGTGCATCGCTCCACCAGCCCACTACGCTTCTGTCATCCCCTGGCCCCAGCGACTCCAGCTCTGCCTCTGGAGGGCTGCATTCAGCTCTGGAACTCACCAGTGCCTCCGTAAACAGACTGAATACTGAAGGAGAATTACGCTGATGAGGCGCTGGTGGCTGTAAAGGTGTGTGTAGTGCTTCCGTTATGTCCACAGGGGAGGATGGCAGTGCTGACGGCTAAGGGGAGGTGCGCCAGAGGCAGTCAGCACGGCATCTCAGCCCCGGGACCACAGACTGCAGGACATCAGCAGGATTGGAAAGGCAGCTTGAAAAGCTTAGCAGTGTCAGGTACGGGATAAACACAACTCACAGGACCTCAGAGAAGAAAAGTGTCACTAAAAATAAACAGCATTGAGATATTTTCCTGAAACTTGGTTTTGGTAAAAACATAAGTGATTTTTTCTTTTAACTGTCCACAGAAACTTCTTCCTCTTGGCTTTGCCTGCCCTGAGCTCCGTAACTTCTTAGCCCCTGGAATTCTATGGCTAGGTCAGCACAGCCCGGTGCAGACTCCAGCCACCGTGCACAGCGTCTCTTCACCCTGCGCTATGTGGAGGATGAGTTTTAATATCAAGGTTACTCACTTTTAAAGTTTCCCTTTCACAAACTTAAAGCTATAATCACAGCCCTAAAAGGTGAACATCTGCCAATTCTTCTGTCCTTCTGTCAGAAAAGTAGCAAACAAGCTAAAAATGTGTAGCAGGTTTCCAGGGACAAGGTAAAGGAATGTATTGAAAGGAGACCCTGGAGGTTTCGTAAACATTCAGAACAGACTACGACATTCACTGGAAATGTCATTCTAATTTAGCCGGACATAAGAAGTGACATGCCATTCACCCAAATCCTCAGATTAGCAACTGTAACTCACATAAATCTTACGACAACCTGATTGCGGTTAACTCTACTCAGACCAAAATAAAACCAAGAGCAGTGCTGCACGTAAAACAAGAGGAGAAGGTTCAACGCAGCCAGACCATTCAGACTTGGAGTGATGATGACTGGGCCACTGGGGAGGGTCTGCGGAGAAATGGGAATAGTGCTTCGAACAACGCCCCCCACTTGAATTAGTTCTGCAGTTCTTTAAGTTACTCTCTTGACTGATAGAATAAAATATATCCAGATTCTGAATTTTTTGATATATCTGATGTCAGGCCATAGAATTCTTCAATAGCTTGAGCATCTATTTTCTGCAATGAAGGAAAAAGAAAATAATGCAATTATTTAACGTGATTCCTGGGGAAAGGAAAACTAATGAACAACAGAATAAAATATAAGCAATACTAGCTGTTATCAAATTACAACTAGTAACTTTTGATATCAAATGGATACTGCATAGACTTGACAGAGGGGCATCATTACATAAATCACAAATCACTGGGGAAGAAAGCTACTGTTTCATTTATTAGTAACCGTTACTGTGTATTCTTTGAAGAAACCAGGAATTCTGTCTCTCAAAATGGTAAACAGGAAGGTCTTTGAGTAATTCTTATTTATTTCATAATTCATTCAGGTCATCAGAGTTCATTTCCTTTACTGTTATTCTACTAAAAGCTACCCAGTGGGTTAACATAGATCATGTCTTTGAGACATTCACTGTAGTTAGTATTCCTTTACAATAAAATCAGTATGTGAAATGCTTTGATATAAAATAAAAGTTTCCAAATCCAACAGACTAATATATATGTAAAATAATAATCAAAACAATCAATATAGGAAAATTTGTTATAAAAGAATTTGAATAGAATTCTGAAGTCTATTACTTGTCCTGTAGTACAGAGAGCTTTTACTCATGATAGGAATTGTGATTTATGGTTGGCATCAAGATTTAGGGATGCCATCTATGTAGCTACTTAACAAGAACACAGTAGTCCACAATCACATCCATTCACCTGTCCATGGAGAATGGGATGTAGCAGGCATTCGTTTTGATAGAAATGTAATTTACAGTTTTCAAGTCAGATTAGGGGAAAACTGGACTATTTCAGAAAACATATGCCCCCCCCCTCAAATCCCACCAATACCTTATTCCTATAGGAAAAAAAAACTGTATACCAACCTCTACAATGTCATCATCAAATAAAAGCCAGAAGCCATGACTTTTCACTATAGTAATATAATGCCCACGATTAGGGCCACTGGAAAAGAGCAAACAAAAGAAAGGCACCAAGTAAACATTTACTACCTTATAAAACTATTTAGCTATTTATTATCATTGACTCACTAGGAAAAAAAAAAACTAACACAAAGTCAGGATAAAGAACTTGGCATAGCCAGGCATGGTGGTGCAGGTCTATAATTCCATCTCCTTGGGAGGCTGTAATGGTTGACGCACTGTGCCAACCTGAAAAGTCTAGAAGCTTAACTAAGTAACTCAGCAGCTCCACAACCCAGGGTGTGGAGGACATGCCCTTACTGCTCTAGGATGTTGTCCACTGTGTCAACTTGACAAGGGTGTAAGTTTTAGTGACTAGCAGGGGGTCAGGGTCCTCACTTTGTGAACATCCTCATCCTGTGCAAGAGGAGGGCACAAAGATGGCGTGAGTGCTACACCCACCTGAGGACATGTGAACACAGTGTAAGGGAGGAAAAGACTTTGCTCTCCCCTTTTAGCTCTGGCTGCTTTTGTTGTCTCCTGCCACCTTGAACTCTCACCCCTGTGCCATGCCACCTTGGCTTGGAGCCAGGTGATTATGGACTGAAACCTCCACAAACTGTGAGCCAAATAAACCTTTCTTCCTGAATTTTGGGCATTGGGTATTTTGTATCAGCAACAAGAAAGGTAACTGAGAGGCTGAGGCAGGAAGATCATTTGAGGCTAAGGATCTGAGACTCCAGCCGATGTCCACAGTTTATGGAGAAACACTTAGGTGCTGGAACCATGCTGACCACAAGGAAATAAAAGTACATGAAAGAGATGACTTCTACAGACTCAGAGTCCAATGGGCAAAAGGGATATTCAAATTCAGCAAATACTAACAATGAGTACCTACCTATTATGTGTCAGGTCTTAATTCCAGTTGTCAGAAAAATAATGAATAAAACAAGTGCCCACTTTCTAGGGACTTGGTGCTATGGTTTGAACATGTCTCCCAGAGTTCACATGTTAGGAACTTCATTCTCAATGCAGTAAGAATTGAGAGGTCAGCCCTTTAAGAGGTAATTGATGCTGTTATCCTGAAGTAGCTTTGTTATAAAATCAAGATCAGTGGTTTTTTTTTCCTATCTGTGCACTCTGTCCCCATGTGATCCCTGCCATGTTATGACTCAGCAGGAAAAAGTCTTCAACAGATGCAGCCCATGGATCTTGGACCTCCCAATCTGAAGAACAGGAGTCCAACAAACTTTAACATAAATCACCTGATCTGTGATGTTCTGTTATTGCAGCACAAAAGAGTCTGAGACATTAAACATTTAATACGTGTACACGGAGTCAGTGAAGAAGAGGAAGCAGAGTAATGGGAGCAGTGTAGAGTAATGGGAGCAGTGTAACGCGGGGAAGGTACTATTTAATGAAAAGGAAGCCTTTTCCAGAGGCCTCTTTGATGATATGGGAATAATGCAAAAGAAAATGCCCTTGAAAGAAACGGCATGGAGAGGGGGAATCTTATGCAACTGCAAGACAGGGAGCAGCAAGTGGAAAGGCAGGCAGAGAGGTGAGTACTCGGTGAGTTCACAGACAGGCTGGAGGCCAGAGTGGCTGAAGCCAAGCGAGCCTTGGGGACGAGAGAGGCGAGACAAGCAGAGTGGAGGGCGGGGGGCAGACCGCATGGTTCCACTGCTAAGATTCCAGACTTCATGCTAAGTAAGCCAGGAGACACTGGGAAATTCTGAGGACTCGTGTTAACAGATCCTAAAGCCTGTAATTAATGAGGGCCTGGACATAAGGGCACACACTGCACAACACAGAAAGAAGTGCAAAAAACAACTGCTACTATGCAAAATTTACACAAGGGAAATTCAATCCTAAATCTAGAGTTGCTCAATTTCTCCCCTCCCCTTTTTTATTAGTGTATATACAACCATCGTGGGGATCTGGTACATAAGCACAGTGCATCTTAGTCCTCTTTAACGCACCACTGAAGTTGGAAAGCTGAATCCTAACCCTTCCCCGCTGAGTCTACCTTCTTTCCACACAAGACCCTGCTTTCTCTTCTTTACAGCACATACCCCCACCAAACACGTATTAAATGTCTGGTGCCAGCCAGTGTGCTTCTACGCCTGTCATTCACCTGTCCCTAGACCCTAAGCTTCACGCAGGCAGGGCCTCTGAGCCACGTGTTGTGCTCACTGTGGGATCTTCAGATCCTGGCACAGAACCCAGGCGATAGGAGTCCTAGCCACAGGAAGCCTCTCCCTCTCCACATACAGGCCAGCCTGCCTCTGGGGTGCAGTTTAAAGCACCCTTGTTAGCAGCATGCGTGACCTGGCACATACTTGCTGCTAGGGCTGCCTGAACCTTGGATGTCCATTCTAGAAACTGGTGATTTGGAACTCAGCCTCCCACAGGTCCCCCAAGACCTCCAAATGCCCTCAGCAGCCCTCTCAAGGATTAGAAGCAGGCACCCACAGAGATCCAACCTCAAAGTGCCCTGTGCAAGTGAGTGCTTCTCTTTCCTTGCACCCAGCTTCCCTGGCCACAATGCCAACCCAGTCACTACCACCTTTGATGCCCACCCATTCCAGGCTCTGCCTGCACCAGACTTCCTCAACCTGCCCCAGTGCGGGGTCTCCCCAGTGGTCATGGTTGCATTTCATTCACTGGGTTCCACTTCATTCTTCAGAAGAATGTCTGTTAGAACCCTTCTTCAGAACACAAAGCTGGCTCACACTAACCAATGAAGGTAACTTACTGAGACATGACAAAACATCCTGTGACTTGAAGCTCACACACCCAGGACAAAACATGGGGGGTACCACACATGAAGCTATAGTTTCTGACCCAGGGAGTGAAAACAGAAATCAGCCCATTCCCTGCATGGTAACAATATGCTCTTGGGAATGGTACTTTCACTGCATCTCATCCAAGCAGACGGGGAGGAAATCATGCTTGGTATATCTAACATACTCCAACTCAAAACTTCCACTGGCCAGAGGAAAGCTGTACCTGTCCCAGAGAGAACATGCCTCTGTCCCCGCTGAGCAAAGAGTAGCAACAGGGAGATTTCCAGTATATTTTTTCCACTTAGGCCAATTATACAAATTTTTTTAAATGCCCAAAGGACTTTCAGCAAAACACTTTGCTTCTTCCTCTCTAGAGGTCTTCTCTTTTTCTAATTATATGTACTTTTTATAGAATGTGGGGGGGGGGACTGAAAATATCTGCATAAAGAATGTTTTTAAGAATAACTTTTTAGCCACTCAAAATGCCACAAAATTATCAAATCTGATTTTTTGTTTTTAGTTGTTATCTATATATGTTAAAATACTTTTGAAATATTTTTATATGTGAACTGGTTTATAAAAAAATAAATTACAGAATAAGCTGTTATTTCTCCAGGTCACTTAAAACTTGCCAGAAGCATCATTTCTGTCCCACGGAGATTTATTGAATGACTCCTCTTATCTGGATTGTCACTACTGCAATGCTATTTATTTTACAATTCTCTAGTTATGTACAGTTGCACAATGGTAGGCCACACATACAGCACTGGTCCCAGAATATAACGCTGCCTCAAGATGCTCCTGGCCTCAGTGTAAGCACACTTCATGACGTTAGGACAGTGAAATCAGGTAACAGCACAGTATTTCTTTTTTTCCAGTACCGGGGATCGAACTCATTACCGCCTGCTTGCAAGGCAGGTGCTTATGCCGCTGAGCTACATCTCCAGCCCCCAGCACAGTATTTCTTAGAATACCTCCCATTGTTAAGTAATATAACTATATTTTGGGGCAACCAAAAAGACTTTAGATGACATTCCCCAAAGTACTGTGTATTCCAGCCTAGTAAAGGAAGTCGGCTGTATTTCAGCAAAGAAACTATCCCTGCATTTATCATGCACACCTGGTTCCAGCCCACCTTTACCTGCCACAGTGAACGACCACGGCAACCAGGTCATACATGCGGTCCAGGTTCACGGCATCGCTGGAAGTGTTGAAGAGCCGAAGCTCCAGAGGAAAGACGACCCGGTAAGACAGCTTTGTGTACCGGTGGAGCTGCTCCATATACTTGAACCGCTTTAGATGCAGGGCCAAAATCATGGGGAGCTTTTTTACTCTCATCCTAAGAAATCATAGAACAAAAAATCAGTTGAGCCCAACACCTGTCAGGAAGAGAATAGACTGTCACCTGTATGATCAAGAACAGAAAGGGTCTAGCACTCGGTATACCAACAAATGGCCAAACAGTGTGCAGAAAGGAAAGTTAGCTTGTCTTTAGCTAAATGGAGCATGGCCAGCCAGAAAAAAGGACAACAGTGTATCTCAGAGCAAAGCAGACATTGTAGAATTTGTGTACCAACAACAATGTGATGTGCCAGTCATCTGCCACTGGTGGAATACATTTGGATAATGCACCCCTTGAGATACTGACAGGAAGACCAACAGCTTTGAAAAAGAGAGGACAAGATGGAAGGACACAGACAGAACCTGACATTCTGAGGGTGACAGGAGGCACAGAGGGTACCAGGCTCACTCTCTCTCCCAACTCTGGTGAGCTTGAGCAGGTTAATCCCCTCTTGTAGCTTTCACTTTCTTCATTTGTAATGCAGGAGTTGCCTTCGGGTTATATTTCCCAAATTGGGTTCAAGACAGCACTGGAGATGTCAGCAGATGCGGCATTCTGATGGCCGTGTTTAGACAAAGCTACTTCCTATTTAACACCTTTCAAGTACATTAGTGTACTTGAGATCCGCGAAACCTTGTAGCAAAGGAACTGTTCCAGTTTGTTTGAAGCAGCCCCAAACTCACACAAACACAGGAAGTTTTTCTCACTCATGACTGTGAAGATTCCTCCGAAAACTGTCACACCCCTAAGAGCTTCTGCAGGTAGCACTCAAGGAGAGGGGCTTCCGGTCGCCCTCCAGGTCCCCTGCACGAAGGGTATGCTCAGACCGTAAGCACTGCTCTGCTTGTATACACTTTCAATGAATGTTGTTTGAAATGGTCAAATTTTAACAGAATATTATTAAGGAATCGATTAAGGTAAAATCCTGCTCATAAAAATAAGTAAAATAGCCAGGCATAGTGGTGCCAGCACTTGGGAGGCTAAGGCAGGAGGATTGTTGCAAATTTGGGCTACAAAGTGAACCCAATGCCAGCCTAAACCACATAGCAAGACCCTGTCTCAGAAAGACAAAAATAAAATAAAACAAAAACATTGGTTAAAAAAAAATATATATATATATATAAGAATTATGGGGGAGTGTGCTATTTACAGGGACATACGACATTTTAATGTACAAAGTCTCCAGAGCTAAACAGAAATCACCTTCATTACCACACAGGCAGACTTAGGGCTGCCTTAGGCAGGCCGAGATTGTTCACAAGGAAAACACAAGGTGAGGTCCCTGTCCTCTAACAAGAAGCATCACTGCCACCTGCACTGCTAACGGCAGCAGTGACTGATCTCTTCTAAATTCTGAAGCATCAAGAAAGATGCACACGTCTAGGCTGCAGGGCTGAGGAGACTCAGCAGAGAAATCATTTCAATCCTGGGTAGGGGTGACACTGTGCCTCTGTGAACTACCATGAAAACTCCAGATCCACCAGCAAGATAAATGTAACTCTCGGTAAGGCTCCCTGGGATGATTAAAACATCAAGCTTCCTGGCCTCCGAGAGCAGATAAAGCAGAACAACTAGTAATCTCAGATTCTCCAAGAGATGTAATTGGCAACTGCTAGTGAAATGCTGGGGAACTCTGAGTCCTGTATTCAATTCAGAACATAGTAACTTTCTTATCACCTCTCCCTGCAACTGATGTGTTCCTGACTCCCTCACTTCTTATAAAGCGATGGATTTTTTAAAAACTCTGTAGGGCCAAGAATACAGCTCAGAGGCATAAGCACCTGTCAAGCAAATGCAAGGTCCTGAATTTGATTCCCCCCAACAAAACAAAGCAATATAATAGCTGGGCCTGGTGGTGTAGGCCTGTAATCCCAGCACTCGGGAGGCTGAGGCAGGAAGACTTGCAGTGAGACCTGCCGGGGCTACAAAGTGATCTCAAAGCCAGCCTGAAGTGCACAGTGAGACCCAGGCAAAAAACAAAACAAAACAAAAACCAAACAAACAAAAACAGAAACAATAAACCTCTGTAAATAAGAGGTGCCTATGTCTAAGTAACAGAACAGTATACAGTACTGCAGCTACATGTGTGGTGTGTTCTGGGCTAAGCACTTTATGTAGCTTATCTCTGATCCCAAGAGATGAACGATCCAGTGGATCTCCACTTGTTTACCCAAGTATGTGGCACAGAGCAGCGCTCAGCACCTGTCAGATGAGTGGCTGAAGGAAAGAGCAAACTACAGACAAACAGACAACTTTCGAGGTCAGCACTCTTGTGTAAGTTTCACTAGTGAGGAAGGTAAATCACCCCCAAAGCTCCACGAAGCTGACGGTGACGTTCAAAACCAGACGTGCTGCACCCCAGTCCGATTCCTCCCCATGACACAGAGCCACCCCCAGCTGAATCTTTTACGCACCTTTTCTGGGCCTCCTGCTTGCTACAGCACATCTCACAGTAATATTTTTGTTCACTGCACAGTGTTTCTGTGTTGCTGAAGTCTCTGTAGAGAAAAATATGTTCAGCTTTTAAAAAGTTCAAATATACTTGGTAAACCACATTTTAAGCCCTCCTGCTTCCTGAAGGTTAATTTTTAAGTGAAAATGAGGAAAGCAGTCATGAGAATGACCAGGAGCTCGTTATGCCACTAGAGCACATCTACTAGACTGCGCTATAGCTTCACTATGAGAGAGTTTCAAATATGACTGTGTTTAGCGGGATTCAAACATATGAACTAGAGTTTCTGACATATTTGGGAGAAAAGTTTAGGATTTAACAAGAGATACTGGTTAATTGGATATTAATAATTATACTATTTTCCCTCATAAAAACACACCCCAATATTGCAAGTAATGTCTAAAGAATAATAATCATAAAATAAAAATAATAATCACATAAATCACAAGGTGACATTATTATGCAGTTAATGAAAAACAGCATGTCTCATAGGATCCATAGTTTCAAAGAACCTAAGAGGAAATAGTGAAGTTAAAATCATATACAAATGCCTCACAATGAACTAAGAAAATCTCAAATTATAGGAGATAACTTCAGCCTACCCCATTCCTGTTCTCCACCACCTCCCCCCTCCACAGTGTATAAAAATTTGGCCTGCCTCTTTCCAAGAACAAAAGCCATTGTGTTTGTTCTATGTTTGTTCATCTTATCTTAAGGGTTTACTCTGCTACTTATAGTTTTCATTTTTCAAATGTCATTCCCTTTCATTCCTTTCTGGTCATAGAGCTTCTACTTAACATTTCTGTGGTTTGCTTCAAAAGGCTGAAAAGAACATCCAGAATATAATAATACCCTACAGTCTTGAAAAATGCCTGTGACATTTCCTTATTCATGGAGTGTCCTGGCAGCAGAATGGTCAGATTTTATTAAATACAAAGTGGCATTTAAACGATGTTAATGACTCTACCACTTACACAGAACCTATCAAAAGAATGTACAGGTTGTTCATTTAATAAATCCACAGATATTCACTGACAGGCCACTGGGCTAGCCCCTAGGGATTATCAGAGTACCTACCCTCACACAGCTCACCAGCTAGAGACATGCACAGGAACCAGTGACCACATGCACTGGGCAACACTGCTCACGCCTATGGCTTATTATTCTTTGTTAGCTATGTAAAGCATAGGAATAGCTAGGCACCATGTGTACACCTGCCAACCCAGCACTGAAAAAGGTTGAGGCAGGAGGATCACAAGTTCAAGTACTGTCTGGGTAACTTAGTGAGACCTCTCTCAAAACAAAAATAAAAAAGGGCTGGGTGTGTAGGTCAGTGTGAATGCTCCTCTACTGCCCACAGGAACAACAAAAGGAAACCTCCGTATGCAGGATGGACAGCAGAAGGCACCTCGTCTTCCTCTCTGCTCCAGACACACTGGCCTTGGACTACACTCTTCCTGCCTTGGGCATTTGCAGGTGCTATTTCCCTAACACTGACCGCTCTCCAAGGCCATTCGCCTCCCCGGCAGGGAAGACTCTGCTGCTCACTCTGTCCAGTCACCCCGCCCCATCACAGTGCTGCCTGCTTTTCCTCAGCAGCGACACTCCCAGCTAACACCCTCCTGTTCATCTCATCGCTGCCTGCCTCCTCACTGCTGCTGCCCTAGCCTGACTTTAATGGCAGCACTCAATATTGACTGGCTCAATGAAAGAACTAGCAAAGACATATGTAGGGAAAAAGCAAAGAAAGAACTTGACCCGGGGTACTTCAGAAGTCTTCTCCAAAGGGCAATGACAAAGTCATGTTCTCAAAGAGGGAAATGTGCGGGAGTTCACAAGTCAGGAAAGGGCAGAGGCACTTAGGCTCGGCACAGACAGCAGGAGCAGGGAGGGCCTGGGGCTGCGGTGCACCGTGCAGCTTTGAGTACGGTAAGAGGCTAGAAAGGCTCCTCGGGCACTAGAGCCCCATGAAGAGCTCTCGGGAAGAACAAGACACAGCTGGACACTGCTTTTGAGAACTACCATTTTGGGTAGTACTGCAGACGAAGAACTGAAAGGGTCACAAACCAAAGAAACCACTCAGAAGGCAATTATATTCAATTTTGAAATTTCAAGTGGCTGATGCACAAACAGCCTCAAACATAGCTGAATGGACACTTCTACTGAGTAACTGCTGTGAACCTCTGACTCGGGGGTGGGATCCTGCAGCCAGGGTGGGGAGCGGGAACATGGACAATAATGGGAATTCACAGCTGTGGGACGCCCTCCATACTAGCTAAAGTATCAGAATAACTAAGGAAAGCTTGGCAAGAGTGAGAAAGTAAATGCTTTCTCTTCACTCAAAAAATATTATCTGTAGACCCAGACAAGGAGAAATACAGCAGAAGATATACAGGGTGAGCATCCCTAATCCCCAAACCAGAAACACTTCTGGTCCCAAGCATTTCAAATTAGCGATTCTCAATCTGTACCAATTTAAAAACTCAATTTACAAATATTCACCATCTTACAGATCCTCTCATGGCATCTGAGTTGAGAAATGGAAAATGAAGAAACGCCAGGAAAAGGGGGTGACCTCAGCAATACACTGAGGCAGGGCAGCTCGGTCAGTACAAGGCAACAGCTGTTAGAACACGCGAGTGACACAAGTGGAGGAAGCCTCCAAGCAGGTCAAACTGCAGCTCTCTTTAACACTTGGGATGAATTACAAGAGCATGGAGAAGAGATTAGGGGAAAAGCCCAAGCTTTTTATATTTTTTTCTTTAAAAAGTCTTAGGAGCAATCAAACACTATCTAAAGATAACACTCTAGGAGCAAATCTAATAAGAAATGCATACCTTTATAAAAGAAACTGTAAAACTTTATTGACATGTATAAAACAACTTTAATAAATGGAGAGAGTACTTCCTGGAGGGCACGGCTTTTCTCCAGTGTGGAGACAGTGATACCATTCAAGTTAACATCTGTATTTGAACATTTTCAATTACAATCTTAACCAACTCAACACAATAGTTCAAAAACTGATTCGGAAAAAAAGTCTCAAGCCAGCTTCCCAGTACCTTCCACACGCCCCCATGTGGAAACTGACGCTTGCTGAGAAGCACAATGGGGCGAGTGATGGGGACGGTGCCAGGCCCAGCTCAGCCTCTCAGGAGCTACGATGATCAACACACACCTGCGGCCTCGTGCCTGGTCCTGGGAAGCATGCTCTAAAATCCAGAGTGGTGTTTCTCCTCCAGCTGCTGATCAGAATTGCCAAAGGATTACTTAAAAACTGTCTCAAAACCAGGTGTGGTGGCACAAGCCTGTAATCCCAGCTGAGCCCCAAGTTTGAAGCCAGCCTGGCTATATTGTGAGTTTGAGGTCAGCCTAACCCTGTCTCAGAAAAGAAAAAAGCGAGAGAGACAGAAAGAGAGAGAGAAGTTATTTTAATACTGTGTCATCCCTCCTTCCCACTCTCATCCCTATTAACTACATCAAAATCCAGGCATTGGGGCTGGTGATTTAGCTCGGCGGCATAAGCGCCTGCCTTGCAAGCAGGCAGTCGTGAGTTCAATCCCTGGTACCGATAAAAAGAAAAAAGACAAAAAAAAAAAAAAAATCCAGGCATTACTGCTTTTCAAACTTCCTGCATAGAGGAAACATTCTGGTTCGCTGCCAGAGCTGAGAACGGTGTGGCACCAAATATTAGAGTGCACTGGGCCACCTGGGAGTCCTATCAAAGTGCAGATTCTGATTCATTCTGAGGTGGGACCTGAAATTCTGCATTTCCAATGAGATCCCAGGTGATATTTAAGCAGCAAAGAGCAAAACAGAAGTTCTCAACTTGTGTGGGATTCTTCTATGATTTGTACCACTCCTGGCTCCAAGAGCTTGAGATATTTTGGTTTAAAAAAAAATAAAAAAGGAAAGGGTTTATTTAAAGCTAGCTGTCAAGGAGATGGAAAGAGGCTTTTTACTGCTTCTCTATGTTTAGGTGTGAAAGGGCTTTTATGAAAAGGAACAGAGGGGAGAAATACGCTGAGACAATAGGCACGGAAATTTCCCTGTCACTCTATCCCCACAGCTACTGCTCCCTCTCTGTGAAAAGGGCCAACTCCTAACCTCTGGGGGCTGGCACCTGCATGTTCCTTCACACAGAGGTGTTATAGTTCGGTCCATTCACCTGAGCTGAGACCAGGATAACTGTGGTGGTTTCTTCCCTGGGCATGAGGAAGTTCAGAGAAGCAGCTCATCTCTAAAAGAAAAAAATCTTAAATTTTAAAGATCTGTTCTACCTTTTTGCTTACTGAACCAGAATCACCATGACACTAAAGACAGAGGCCTAATTCACTGAAATTCCTGAATATAGCCTGGATTCTACTTTTACCAATTTCCAGGTTGATTCTGATATACACATACTTGTAAGAATTACTGACTCAAGTTTCTTTTTGTATGTTTGTTTTTGTTTTGTTTTTGTCTGTCTTTTTGAGACAGGGTCTCACTACAGTGAGACTAGTTCAGACTGGCCTTCAGCTCACCTTTTAGACCAGGTTGGTCTTGAACTTTCAACGATCCTCCTGCCTGAGCCTCCTGAGTGCTGGGATTACAGGAATGTGCCACAATGCCCAGCTGACTCAAGTATTAAAATCAATTTTAAAAAAGAAATCCACAAGCCAGGTGTGTGTCAGATACTGGGAAACACCATATCATATTATGAATAAAAATCAAAACTGAAACAGAGGTCAGAAAAACCAATAGAGAGGCGATGAAAATGGATGCATATGTTAACTTAGCACACACAAGTTTCTCTAAGGAGAAAAGGAATTTCTTTCAAAGGAGATTAATTTTCAAGTGCAAAGAGTTTCAGCAGAATTGCAGCCTGTTTTCCCCTCAATGCCTGGCTGGCATCCCCAGCACTAGGAGAGTGGGGACATTAAGTGGGAGGGAACAAAGGAGGGAAAGGTGGAGTTTCAGCACTGAGCTAGTTTGGAGGAGAAAAGTTTCCTAGCAGAAACCATCAGGGGAGAGGAGGCTCCACAGCAGAAGACAAAAATAACAAAAGGTCTATGCTGCGACAGTGAAGGTAATCTGCTAGTACTTCAGGTTTTGGCCTAAAAGCATCCCTGGTCTTTTCACACACAGCAAGGAAATTCTCTCTTGGTTTCCTGCTATCTTACAAATGGCTTACCTTGCTTGAGACACAGAACCTCACAAAATACTATACTAGAACTGTAACTCAGCTACAGTATGGATGTATATCTTCTCTACATTCTGAAATTAATCACTGTTATACAGTTTCTCTGGGACAAAAATTCAATGAAAATTCAGCATAATCTGCTACCTAAAGCCCTTCTAGAAGGAAGTAGCAGAGATCTTATGTTCAAATCCCACAACTGTAGCTTGATCCTCTGAGTTACTAACAAGATGAAAGTAGTATCATAAGAGATACAGACATGACGTTTAGAAAGAAAATTCATAAATTCTAATTTTAAAAATGAAAGAAAAATATCAAACTAAATCATGAAAGGGGACAAGAAACATCCTAGTCATTCCTTCTCTTTGGTCTCAGTGATAGGAAAAGGTGATGAATCTGCTGACCCCTATTCCCTGGGTCTGCACTGCACGGTAGGTGGGAGGTGGTGTTTGAATGCCGTCGCTCCCTCTCAGAACTCAGTGGTGAATCCCAAGTTGGCAGGCTTCTCCTTAGGTGTACATGTGACGGAGGGAACAGGTGAGCAGGCTGAGGTCTAGTTTAGATATGGACGTGAAATGGAAGCGGGAGGTTGTTCATATTTCAAAGGCTTTGGGGGGCTAGGACATAGACCCCAATCACAGCATTCACATTTCCAAGCGCCTAGATCCTGCCTGCATTAGGCACACAGGCTCATCTCAGGACTGCAGCTGCTGCTACCTGCCCTCTCAATAGCCCAGGAGTTTCCCAGAAGGGAGGGGAAGCAGTCAACCTTCACTCCAGTCCCTCATCTATGACCATCGTTGGTTCCACCTGAACTTTTCTCATACCCTACAATCATAAAACCTTGGAGAGACCAAAAATGACTTTATTTCAAAAGAATGTTGAAAAGAGGTACCATTAACAACCTAGCAGGGAAAAGTGAGGTTGTCTTGGCCTACAAACACCTTTGCAAAGAAATGCAGACCTAATCTTCATACCTGGATCTGTGGTATTTGGACAAAAGACATTTAAGACACTAGAACAGCAGGAAGCATTTTGAGAACTCTCCACTCTGGGCCAGGTGAGGCCTTGTAGGCCTGGGCAAACAGAGTGGAACAGGTGCTCCCATGTACACAGCACCGAACGCCTAGGTGAACCAAGCTCTTCTGAGCTGCTCTCCTAGTGCATTCATCCTAAAAGATGGTTTTATACCAGGCAACCACTCCAGCCAGTTCCTTGACTGCTCTTCTAAAAGGTTTTGGGTAATCTGAGGTCTTGAAAGAATAGCCCTGTCACCTGAGCCATACTGATACAAATCAACAGTGCCTTGTTTCAGCTGTCTCCAAGCCACAACACCAGTGTTTGGGGAGACTCGCCCAACTACTTAGTCTGTACTGGCGCCTTCAGAATCAGCACCCTCCGGGTTTTATTTCCTTCCACGCACTGATCATCACCTTGCATGAGAGTAGGGAGCTAGGTACCATTTACTCTCCTCTCTCCAGTGTCTCAAGCAAGCTGGAAAAATTACAAACACTCATTTTCTCTTGTTAAAAGATGTGGGAATCTTGTCTCTGAGGCAACTCTGATCACATTTTTAATGTCAGATCAATATGCAGTATCTCACATGTTGGGTTCCTTACTGTCTCTCAGTGCTAACGAGGAAAAATTTCTTGCTATGAATGATCTCCACAGAATACTAAAAAGATGGAGGAAAGAGAAATTCCCTCACTAGCTGTTGAAGTGCATAATTTTTAAAATAACTCGAGATTATCTTTAAACGAGTAATAAATGGTAGGCATCTTCAGCATTTATTAACTAAATGTCTGTGTGCATATGTGGCAGAGAGACTTTGATGAAAGCCAAAAGTATACATCTGCATTAAAGATTAAAATTTTATCCTTCAATTCAATGGCTAATGACTCCCACCTGACCTTCTGTCTGCTCAGTGAGACTCTTCTGCAGACCACATATACTTATTTTTACTCTCTCTTGGGAAAGAAGAAACAAAATAATAGGATTATGCTGGTTAAAGAGCAAGGAAAATTATGTCCTGAAGAAATACAGGATTTTATTTCCCCCCATTTATTTAGTAGCCTGATCAAAAGCTGAAACCACAACTATTTCTAAGATGACAATGTGAAATCTATTAACTGGTGATTTCTTACTGTTTTTGTTTTTGTTTTTTTTGTAGTTCTGTATTACTTGTACCCTTACACTGTTTTGTTTTGTTTTGTTTTGCTTTATTTTTCTTTTAAATAAAATTAAAAAAAAAAACTGAAACCACAAGCAGAATTCTTAAGGTTACCTCAGACAGTGGGTAATGGAAGTGTTCTGCTCCACATCAACAGAAAGGTCAAGAAAATCTTCATCTTTGCTACTAACCTGAAGCAAAAAAAAAAAAACATTAATAATAATAAATGTATTAAATGTATTAGGCATGAAATACATAGTAAAATAGGGGGGTAAAACTTTAAATCCATTTCTTTCCTTTCTTGTGGTGCTGGGGATTGAATCCAGAGTTTCATACATACTAGGTTAACACTCCACCCCTGAGCTACATCCCAGTCCCAAAACTGAATCCAGTACTGAACTAGGTATTCCAACAGTATAATGCGGTACGAGTCGAGTGTGGCTATGTGTGCTCACTGGGGGAACCAATTACCTCGAAAACATTCCAATCTAAAGAAAATACCAGATTCTCTATTCAGCCTCATCCCTGTTGTAATTTTGATTCAAAACTTACAATAATTAAAACCCAACTAGACTATACTTCTTCTACAGCTATTTCCCCTACTGTTGCAACACAGGAAATTTCAGAAAAACATCAAGATAGCATAGCCTGGCAGAATGATGGAAATGTAAAAACGACACAAAAATCCTCCGGCCCAGTTGGTTGCCCTTTATATCAGGTGTCTTCAGTTTTTGCCAGTCCCTTCATTCCCTTCCCCCCACGCCTCCTTGTTCAAATGGCATGTAGGGCTGGGTCGCTGGAGAGTACACGAACCTTCAGCCAGCAGTCGTCATCACTTGCACAGCTCCATGCTGTCAGTGATGACAATCAGCCCTCAAGCTGGCCTGGAGCCCTAGCTCAAGCGGCCTGGTGGACTCTTGGCAATTCACTGACCCTGGGTGCTCCTCTGGCTACCATCACATGTCAGCTTCAGATCTCATACTCAGGGAAGCTCACTGAGCAAGTGCTTACACTCCACTCAAGCACCAACCATCTGGGGTTTACTGTCTTGCTTGTGGAGCAGGAGGGACAAGCTGGTCCCAGAACAAACACCCAGCCCCACTCCCAAGTCCATGCGGTCACACATCTGTCTTTAGTGTAAACAGCAGGTGGGACTTTTAACAAGAGTAAAAAAAATAATTTACAAAAGTAAAGATTCGGTGAAGCCACCTAGAGGGTACCTCAGGGGCTCTCACGTAGATGCCAACCCAGAGCTGGTCGAGAACAAAATGAAAATTACACTCCTTTAAAAACGTTATGGCCAGGTGCGGTGGTGGATGCCTGCAATCCCCACACCTAGAAGGTCAAAGCAGGAGGATCCCTGAGAGTTCTGGGCTACATAAGCAAGTTTAAGGTCAGCCTGCACTGTACAGCGAGACACTGTCTCAAAAAAAAAGGTGTGACAACAATCCTATGACCCCAAATTCCTGAAATTATCTAAACAAATACTCAAAATTTTGGACAGACCTTTCATGCAAAAATGTTTACTGGGACAGACTGCCCAGCTCCATTTCATTCCCCTCCCCACTACAAACTACATGATTTGGAGTTAGTTACTTCGCTTCTCTGTATCTCAGCTTCTTTATCTATAAAGTGGGGACAGCTAACAGTATCTCACAAGATTTTTGTAAGGATAAAATAAAGTAATAAATTGCTTTTAAAAGTGACCACTGAAGCTGGGAGTTTAGCTCAGCAGCACAAGCACTTGCCTGGCAAGCTCGAGGTCATGAGTTTGCTCTCCTGTACCAAAATAAAAAAGTGACCACCGAACAAATGAAGGAGAGCTAAAAAAATTCTAAATAGTTTAAGATGGTCAAAAAGTCAGAAATAGTTTATGATATGAGGATTATAATACTCAAAACATACTGTACAGTTATTTATATATACACTATTTCCTGTTTTGTATTTTGAAAGGCATGTATATATTTGTACACATATGCCCTCTCTTACAACTCTGTAGCATTCTGCATTAATTTTTTATGGCATTTATTCCTACTGTAACAGAAATCATTCCTGGCATTCTAGCACAGCAGTATAGTAAGCCCCTGACTTAGGAACGAGTTCTGCTCTGGGAGAACATTCATCAGTCGGATTTGTTCATAAATCTGACAAAGTGAGTCTTATACATCTTTGACACAAATATACAATTTAAAACATAAAAAAACCAAATAAAATATTTACACACGAAGATACTGTGAATAATGCTTCCAGACATCTTGGGCTCTGACTGAGCACTATACTACTGTCTACTATTGCACACAGCAGCACAACTGTGGACAATGCCAGGCAGACACATGAGCTACTGCCGAGATTTGTCAGCACCTGAGAATTTCATAAATCAAGATCCGTTTGGATCTGTGAAAGTTCACAACTGGACAGTTCGTAAGTTGAGGAGGACTTACTGTACCACTGCCTATCTTGGCTTCTCTGACACATGACCTTACAGATCCTCTCATCGAAAGGTGACTATGTTTCCCCCCCGTTCTTGATTCTGAGTGCAGCTGCAAGATTGCTTTGGCCACTGAGAATTTTAGAAGACAGGATATAAGCACAGGTAAATAAGCACTGGGGAACTTGGTCTTTCCCTTCTGTCACCACCCTAGGCTGAGCGCAGGTTAGCACACTGTCTCAGAAAGAAGGCAGGAGGCCGATGAAGGAAAGCTGTCCTAACTAAGGTGCTCAGCTGCACCTAACCTAGTGAACCCCTTCCCCTCAGCCAGGCTGAGTCACATGGATAAGCTAGCAGGCCTTCAACCACCCAAGTGTGGCCACGTCCAACTACATCAGCTTTACTCAACCCCTAGTTGCATGGGTTATAATAATCAATGATAGCTTGAGTTTTGCCATGGTTTATAAAAAAGCAATAGAAACCTAATATAGTCACATCATATATACATATATTTTTTAATTGGAATATATATTAACATATATAATTTTTATTATCTATCACTTACTGAAAGTTCAAAACATTGGCCTCATAATAAGATCCTAGCATACTAATACATACGCCTCCAGAAAACTACAAGTTCATATGACCATAAACTAAAAGAAAGCACCTGATGGTGTCAGAGTATGAACACAATCTGGCAGACAGAGTATCTGCTTTGAAGAAGAGAGCTGTATAGAATGACAGATGAGTTCATGGTTTCAAAGCCTTTACCTGGGGGCCTATGGAGGAAAATGCAGTTTTTCTGGCCTGGGAGCCAAAGACTAAATCTGAGAAACCAAATCCATTAAAAGAGGGAAAGGGTCTGAGATGTATCCCCAACTCTGTTCACATCTGGCTGACCACTGAGCTATTCATCATACTTGGAATGCACTCGAAGCAACTCAGCTGGAGACAAAACAATGACCCAAGGTTCGAGCTGCCACCCAATAAATAGTGAGTCCAAGATAACTGTCTGCTAAAACTAAAGAAACTCAACAGGCACCAAAGAAAAGAAACATCATCTAGAGCATCTGCATTTTCTCAATGTCCTGGACAAAAGCCAAAATTACAATATGCAAAAAATTGAGAGAATAGAAGACATTCTTAAAATAAAAGAAAACCAACAAGACCCATCTTGAAATGTACGTTGTAATTAGCAGATTAGAATTTTTAAAAAGCCAATAAATAACTATCTTCTAAAGTAAAAGAAAATATACTTGTATGAATCAGAAAATAAGAAACTGCAGCAGACAAAAATAACAACAACAACAGAAAAGCAAATGGCAATTCCAGAACTGAAAAACATAATGCATGGACTGAACCTAACAACAAACTGGAGATGACACAGGACAGAGCAAGTGGACTTGAAGACAGATCATTGGAACTTACCGAAAAAGAAAATGAAGGAAAAAAAGATTGAAATAAAATTTAAACACTCCAGGTGTCCTTCAGATAAAATCATACATATAAAGAAGAGTCCTAGAAGGGAAGGAGAGGAAGAACAGGGAAGAAACACTATTGAAAAATTGATGGCTAACATTTCCTAAAGTTGAGGAAACATGAACCTTCAAGATTCAAGATTCAAGATACACAACAAATATCAACCAAGACAAATAAGGGCAGCCAGAGAACATCAGAGACAAATACTGAAAGCCGAGAATAAAAAGCAAATCTTAAGCAACTGCTGCAAAAATAAAAAGCACAAATTGCTTACAAGAAAACAATTCAATTAGCAGCTGACTTCTCAAACTACGAGAAACTTCTCAGGACACAATGAAACACCTTCATTATGCTGAAAGAAAATTATCAAGCTACAATTATTATATCCCATAAATAAATCTTTCAAGAATGAACCAAAATGAAGAGATTCACAAGAGACTCACACTAGATGAAGGTTAAAGGAAGTCCTTCAAGCCAAAGAGAAATTATCATTTGTAAATTCACAGAAGTCAAGGAAGAACAATGAGCTTTGAGAACATGGCTTCGTTTTCAATAATACTTATGCCTCTTTAAAGGAAAAACAATGTTGTCCTGTAGGGCTTAGCATACAGGACAAGGTAAAGTGAGGCAAAGGAAATACCACTGGTACACTTAGGAATTTTCTACGATTATGTGAAACAGTAGCGTTATTAGCTGAGTTCAGACCATGAAAACTGAAGAATATTAGTACAACTACCACACACACACACACACATACGAAAAGGCAAACAGGAAACAGAATGGAATTATAAAAATGCACATATTCAAATATGTATATTCATAGAAAGAAAATGTACACAAGGAGAACCGTATACCAAAGAGAATAGAAAACATAAAACGGTGACCCATACCCAAACATATCAATAATTATAGCAAGTATTAATTGCCTAATAATAAAACAAAAACCTTTTCTTCAAATTTTTGTTGTCTGCATAATGTCCCAGGCATCAAACTGAGAGCTTCGAAGACACTACACAAGTGCTCTACCAGCTGTATCACAAATGACTGAACTCATGTGCAATATATTATCCAATCACAACAGAATTAGAAAACAGCCAAGTGTCCTCAGCCAATAAACAATGGGATTGTTTGTTTAAAAAAAAAAAAAACCCACAACTATATTCTGCCCACAGGAGCAAAACTTTAAATATAAAATGAGATTGAAAGTCAATGATTGAAAAAAAGACAGGTATACTATGCCAAGAATTAGCATTAGTATGTAAAGGGATATGTTGTTATCAGAAA